TGCACTAGTAGCTTTTCACCGCGGTTGCTCATGCCAGTGCCACCACCACCACCACCAGCAGCAGCAGCAGCACTGACTGTTGTCAGCGCTTCTGAACTAACCAACAATAGCTTACTGCTGGCCAAAACGTGAAGAGTTAACCAAATATGGCCCATGAACGTCATTGTTAAGAGTGTCGACAGTGAATGTATCAGAATTCTTTCTCTACTTACACAATAAAACCCTCTATTCCATCCTGAAATATGGATACATCGGTGACGATGATGACCATGACGTGGATTACATAAGAACACTTTCATCACCAATCACGAATCATTTGTGATGATAACGAGCGTTTCAAACAATGAATGCAAGAGCACCACGGAAGAATATCATTCATCTATCAACTAACAGACATCACAGCGTATAGCTAAGCATCTCATAGCACTGTAAAATTGAGAGACGTCTTTGTAGACGAGAACAGAATAGGAAATTCGAAAAACAAATTGACTAAAACGATTAAAAAAAACACCGTTGAAAGAAAATAATGCCTCGGCAACGATGTAATAATAATAATAAAACATTACAATAGCTCAACGCGAACAACCGTTCTTAGTAATGGCTGAGAGGGGCATTGTGAATTGAATGCAGGCANAAAGCATTCAAACAAATTTTGAATGACAGAATAAATGAATCCAGAAAAATGCAAATTTCTCACGAAAGTTTTCACTTCAAACTGCTGCTGCATGGTTTAGAGTTTAGATATTTCACACGGCTAGAAATTTATGCAAAAATTTCATGAACTTGCTTTCATATGATTAACTTCATTGACAATAAGATTACTAAATTTAAGAACTGTGCAGTGAAGTGATTGATAAAATTAATTTGCATCGATAAACCATAATTCCGCGCTGGGAAGTAGCAATATGATTCGATAACTTCTCTGGAATAATTGAAAAGGATAAAACGAAGGAGTAGAGGTAGGTTCGCATCGAGATATTGTTTGAGATTTCATCATGAGTTTGATATGTGATGTAGTCATGACAGTGTCGTCATGACAATAACATGATGAGATAAACGTATGTCTGCTAATCTAACAAACAGAATTTTTCGAAATTTCGAAATTTGAAACGTCTACCGACCACGTGAATTTTTCATATTCGTCATAGACACAACCAAAAAATGAATCAGACTTGGTGAGAGATTATCTGATACTTGGAAAACCACAGCAATTAATCCGCAGCACTGCAGTTCCACTCCTATCGCTGCGTATTTCGAAATTTTTCAAGTTCGACGAAATTCACGATCTCGAGGAAGGATGAACTACAATAGATAGGGGTGAAACTTTTTACAATGCATTCTAAAATCAGCTTCCCCTTAGATACCTTCTGCAACTAATTTTTCTTTTTTTTGCTAGTGGGCGGAATATTTCAGAATGAATTTCGCTCAAACTAATCAGCTCTGCTGAGTGTCTAATGAATGTTCCACAATACCGTCGAGAAGTGAAAATTTCAATTTTGTCATCTGTCAATCACTGTGCAAAAACAATAATGGACGATAGAAAAACTTAGAAATTAATTTGATTAACACTAATTTCATTAGAGTGAATGCAAACAAACACACGTATAACAGCAACTTCAACTACAACACGGTTAATATGGCTGATTTATTTGCGAATGGGTTGTCAACAAATGATCACTGGAACAAATAATTTACGGTATGACAGTTGACTGACTACCAATAAATGCAAAAGTACGTGCGGTTTACTAATGAAGTCATGAAATTTTTTACGCTAAAATGCTGAAAATTTTCATAAATATGGCAAACCCATCGACTCTTGAGATAATTCACAAAATGCAATTTTAACTAGCATTTTTATTCATCCCATAGATGATATGAGATACGATTTATTAAGTCTTAATACGATTATCTGCACCTTATGTAAATAGGACGATGCAATAACAAGAAACCTGATTTAAGCAAACTGAATTTAAAGTCCATGAAACTTTTTTTTCGCGCATAACGATTCTGCTCAACTTTGGATGGGCGTAACGCCACTTACTACAACTGGATGAAGAGCTGCCACAATTTAAAAGATAACTAATGTAACGACAGCAGTAACTTCATCGTTCCATGACGAATATCTCGTTGAGCTCATGGATGGGATATTAAAGTCAGGGTGTGAATCGACACTTTAGAAGAGTCATCGTTTCAGATGAACTGAAAAAAGCGGAAAAACATGACAGGTTGATCTGGTGCTATGCGGCTCTACGTAACTAAGGCAGTGCTGCACGGAGAAAATTTATTGCCCATCAGAAATCAGGAATATAAATGATGTTCGTCCTATTTCCTTCAACTTCTGCTTGTTTCCTAGGTAACAGATTCTAGAAATTCAAACAAGAATCTAGAATGACGAATCGCTCTGCCGTTCTATAAATGCTCGTCTAGTAAATCCCCTTATCAAATCGTCAACTGACGGTGCTGAATCCAATTGTATAATAATCCTGTTGCTGTTGGAAAAGACAAAAATTTTTTGAGACATTCACAGAGAATTCATTGAAGTAGGTTCCTCCAAAATCTCAAACATAAAATTCCAAAAGTTTAATGTATATTAAGCGATCGGCTGGACGAAAACTGTGCATCGAGCAATAAGTGATAAACAAAGATATAATCGCACGGGACAGTAGGTAAACAAAACAAGTTCGATGTGAATTAGTG